AACGTTTACAAATTATTTCATGGGAAAATAGGAAGTGACTTTTGTCGCGGCTCGTCCTGAGTTCGATCTCAAGAGGCGTTGTTTCCTACAAGAAATTAGATCAGGATATGCGATATGATATGTCGTGACACTCAAAGGCCGTCCTCATGAGTAGGAAATGGCTATGCTTTCACGATTCTGTCAGCTCTCATTCAAATTCGAGGCATACTTGCGTTCATACCTCGCGTCAGCGTTTCGAGCCTACGATAGCGTTTTGAGCGACTAGGAAAATTTAGGTATCTACTTTTTTGAGCGTATGCCAGCGTTATCAGCACTGGCGGAAAGTTCTAAATACCGCGAAACGCTCAAAACGCCGACGCAGTATGAGCGCATTCTAAACATCTGCTTCTTTCAAAGCATTAAAACAGCCACTATAACTCTTCCCCTCTCCTGTTCTTTAATTCGAGCGATAAAGTCCTTCATCGAACCGGTTACTAATAAGGACGAACTTACCACCAGGCATGTCTGGAACAATGCTCTCGATATACTGCAACAAAGGTTCCAACTGTTCTCGCAACTTGAGGATGCTACCAGTACTGGCTGTCGGTGATGCCACGATGAAAGCCATTAGTGGTGGTACATTTAGTATAACCAGTTGACTACTCTCATAGAAAAATACTGAGGAAATATGATGACCTGAAAAAAGAATTTAGGTAGTCCAGTGGCAATACTCCCATTTGAAAACTGGTACCAATGAGTAGTTTCCCAGTCTGATCTTGAGTAGCTTGTAGACTTGATATCAGTGACGGCCTTGATCGAAGCTCTTCGCCTTAACAGATGTTCTGAAGATTAATGAAAAACGGAGTCATAAGTAATTTTTACTGTCTGCACTTTTACGCTGCTCGCTCCTCTTAGCCCACAACAGTCTCTTGGGGTGTTCATTTCTTTCAACCCCAGCAAGTGCGACGAAATAAGCGTTTCAAGCGAGTGCCGTACCGCATCAGGACCCAATCCACTCGACGTGGCAGACCGCGGCGCGTCGACTCTCTCTGCGTCTGCGTCTCTCATGCTGACTAGCTCTCTCTCGGCCTCTGCCTGTCTAACCAACCAGCTAGGAAATTTTTTAATAATGCGCGCGATATCGCTGTTGGGAAATACCGCCCCACACCCAAAATGCCGACTCCCCTTTGAATCGCGGTTGTGTCAAGGAAGTAGCGGTGATGCGCATTTCCACTGTGCATTTATTAGCAATAATTATCGCCACAGGATTTGCAGCAACTTTCACTTGCATGAAAATAATGATAATAGTAATAATCATCAAAAAGGACAACAGTGAGAAATAAAAAATTCAGAGAAAAATTACTCACCCACACTAACTACAATTACCCCATCACGATCAGTAAGAAAAATTGTAGTAACACCTGGTATACTTTCCAATATCCGTCGCAATGATTTAGTAATCTCCATAAAACCTAGAAATAACGTCCGTAAAGCGCATCACCTCTTAGGAATCAATATAAATAGCAGACTCTAAAACAGAATAATAGAGAGAGACGGTGAGATTCGCAGACAGGCAAGAAGTGCAGCCGCGCAGGGATGATCTCTTGAGTACATACAAACAGATATCGAGGTGTGCAACGGCGCCAAATCGCGAACCTTATGGGATGCTCCCGAATCTTGGGGCAACGGGAGGGGGTAATCCCTTATCCCGAAGAACTTACACACCTCAAATGAAAGTAACGACCTCCACATAGCAGGTTTATACGCAAGAATGTGGAAATGTAAGCAAAAGCCCAGCAAACTCGCATTCCCCCGCCCACAGATGTTATTAGTAGCGATACATACTTAATAGTTCTAGGAACGAATTTCACTTCAAAAGAACAAGAACTGCGAAGTACCAACTTGGAATTTAGCGATATCATCAGCAAAATTCATCTGTTGTGGCGCGCTCGCCAGGCGCATTCCAGATCGTCACCGGAGCCTAAATATTAGGAACCGGCTTACCGGTAACACGCCGTCGTGTGATGTGCACACAAGACATTTGAATAAGTCTTGAAGTAAAAAAATGCTTTTTTTCTTTCGCTGATGTTTTTTTTTGTCGCTAGAATGTTTCGTTGGTATTTGTCGATTTCTTCACTATATTTTAATAGAATGAGTAAATTCATCTTGCTGTATTGTTATTGACCCCAATATCGCATTCTTAAGAGTTTTTTATTATTAGGAGCGCGCTATGTTTGTTCCCGTATTATCTTGCTGAGAAACAATAAAACAACGCCGCTTGCCCAAGCAGCGTTGCGTAATTAGCACCGCTATCCATTACAGTTGGACTGGCGTGTGTGTGCTCTTCCTGTCGGTCAACAGATTAGGTTATCGCCAGAACGGTTGCGCAATTTGTATCTGCTCGCTAGTGCTAGGTTATTTGCGCAATGTGTTTTCTGTCAATGCCTGGGCGTTTGAACGCAACTTAGTTGGCGGGCGCCTTTATGCGATTGCAGAAGACTTTATGGCCTTGCAAGCATTGCATTGCTTACTAAACGAAATGGTTTAGTCCTACGCACGGATTCTGGGCATAGATTTTTCGCGAGGATTTGCAGTTCTGTTAGTGCAAGGTCCCTTCTGTGACCTAAGGGTAATTGAGAGTAGCTAATTCTCATGGGTGGTACCTTTAATTTGAGTCGACTATATGGCGAACGAGTCCTTTCCCTTAACGTTAAGCGGCAATATGGGGGAATTTTCCCCTAAAACTGAAAGTTGTAATTACTAAGACGTGATCTACTGAAGTCTTTTAGGCTGTTAGGCACCGGACCGAGTTTCTTTTATTTTAAAGCCTTCAGAACCATCCTGAAGAGTCACTCCATTCTCTGACGAAAGTAGTAACGGGACCGTCAAAAAACAACTATGCAAGAAGAAACCGTGGGCTTGACTGGACTGGAAGTTTTTCTCTTCCACCAACGGCCGAGGTTTCTATCAAGCGGAACGATGGTTCACAAGTTACTTCATCTGAATCTTCCGATGTGACCCAATGGCAAGATGATGGGCCGCGATAACGGGGATCTCGTCGCTGATAACGAGGAGTGCTTTGTTTTTTAATGCACTTGGTGTGCGATTTGCCGAAGTACGAGAGTAGTAGGAGTGTGTGTGTGGTGTCTGGATGGGCACGATGTGCATTTCCAAGTACAAGTAGAACTATGACGGGGAGTGCTTGGTTTTTTGAATGCACGGTGTGCATTTCCAAGTACAAGTTAAAAACTAGACTCATGCAAAAGAAGAGGTAGAGCGTCCTCATTCCTCTAATTTTGATTTTTTTTCAATTTTAAATTTTTTGTGAAATATGCATATTCAAAACAAAATAAAAAAGATTGCAAAGTTCTTTTTTTTCTTACCTGCTAAGCAGTAGTATCGTCGAGTGTAAAATTCGCGTTCCCAAGTGTTTCTTCTGATATGTGCAACTATCCAAGCACGAAAGGGGGGGGGGGGGTGGTTTTGGGTAGGGGTGGGGAAGGGACCTACTTGAAAGAGATATAATTTTTTTTAATGAAAAAAAATTTCTTGTTAGATAAAGTTATTTCCAAAAGTATGTAATACTCAAAAAAATTGATCTCGCCGGGACCTCCATATCAGATTACAGGTTCATGACTCCTGTATCTGAAGGTGTGTAGCGGTTTTTGAATACAAAAGAGTTTAGGCTATACATATTTATCATAATAACATCAAAGGGGAAAGGAAGGGAATGGAAGACGGTCGGGGGTGGACCGTCACATCGTGAGTACTCACTACCGCACTTGGCGTCGTCTGTCTTCCAGTCCCTTGCCCGCTTCCATGCGGGATATCCGTAATCCCTCGGCCAACGCCAGACCAGTGTGGACGCGCGACATGCATCTTATCTGTGAACAACCATGTCACGCATAACGCTCCTGACCCACTTTCGTCCATCTGGTGGGCCTCCCCCCCCCCGCTCTTCGCTACTGTTTACCTTTTTATTCTGCGAGAAAGTCCCTACGTCCAAGAGTGGTTTAGGCCAGTTGAAGTCCGCATGGCGCAATGGCGAGCATCGGTATTGTTTCTATTTGTCGTGCGAGGCGTGCGGGTACTGTGTGTAAGGCGCCATTCTTTTCGTACAGATGCGGCTGTGTGCCATTGCGTACACTGCGGGGCTACAGTAACCTTACGCCCAGTTTTATTCAATGTCGAGGAGAGACTTCGTGGAAGATGCGTCTATATTCGAGCGGAGGGGGATACAGATTTTCAGATAGCTTCCCCTTCGTCACCATTCCCCAACAGGTCAAAGCACAAAGGGCCACGATAGCGGACTCTATGTGTTATTCTGTTAATATATGTGAAAAGATAGCGGTTATGTGATAATACGTGTACATACTGCGATTGCGCCATAGTCCATGTTTGATTGCAGCTGCTTATTTTTGTGGAGCAGACTGGAATAAGAGAGCCCTTCATGATACAGCAAATGACATAACCTCGACAAAAATGTTTGACATAACCTCGACAAAAATGTTT